CCTCAGGGAGTATTGTCTTTGCGGGGCAAGCACAGCAGTTCAACAGATTTCCAACCAGTTCGCAACTAGATCTAGAAGGAAGCATAGGAACGGGAGACGACGATACAGGGTTGAGGAAGAATCATAGTGCAACCCATGTTAATAACCAATGGGGAAATGCCCGATCAATTGAATTTCCTTTCAGTTTTCCATCCAGTTTGCCTGATACATGGAAGCCTAATTTGTTCTTGGATTCTCCTCCATCCTAGGGAGATGTCCACTACTTCTTCAGCAAACAACAAATCTTATACTTAACTGAATGGAAAACTAAGAAACTAGGTCACTTCTAGTGTTGGCTTAGGCAAGTCAAAGCTTATATCATAAAATGTTTTGTTCACAGTCTTTACTGTACAGGCTTTTATATTCAACATAATGTGCTTGCGTGAATATTTAATTCTACTCTTTCTGTTGTCCTTTTTCTTATTTTTCTGTTATATTTTCACTACACATATTAAAAACCAGAAGTTACAAACGTTTTTATACTTTGCTTGTTGAAATTAACATCTATTAATTACATTTAAAATTAACAGAAGGGAAAAAAAACAGCAACACATGCCTAAACAGTATGCAAGACTGGAGAATAACAGAAACTAATAATCTTAGAAGAGCTTTTAGCACCTTATATTAAACAAAATAACATTGCAGACAGAGATACTAAATGGAGCAAGGCAGGAAATAGAGATCCAGTAATAGAGAAAAATATATAGGAGCACAATATAAATTTACCTGGATTGGCATTTAACAAATGATATATCTGTCCACTTTGTTGTCCATCTGGATTGTTTCAACGATTACATGAAATCCAAAACTGGACTGGTAAGAATCTCCCATGAACCTATAATGTAACAGATCACAATTGTCAATGCACCACGGTTTGAGGTGAAAATGCAAGTATCCTTTATGCATCTTACGAAGTTCCAGACTGAGCTGGAAAGAAAAATATAGGTACGATTTCAAACATCTCCCAACGAAAATGCTGGTAACGGCACAAAATTTTTTCGATAAACACGAGTCCCTGAGGTTCATATGCCTCTCTCTTTTGTGATCTAATATCACAAAGAAAATCAGTACGACGGAGATTGTAATCAAAAGAGAGCTCAATGTTTGTAAAATTCACTAATTTCATGCGTAACATAAAAACTACCGAACCTTAGTAACAGATCTCATACTCCCTCGCAATCGTCTCTGGAGGAGCCAAATTATCTGGTCTTTGGTTTATACAACTTAATCTAGGCCATTCTTATACTTTATGTCTTTAACTCACCAATCACTATTTATACAAAAACCAGTGGCAATCAACGAGAACTAATTCAACTTCTGCAGTTCTTTCCAGCTGCTTCTCAATTAAGCCTCAAGATCTCCACCCTATCTTTGCCGAGAACAGATCATTTCTTGCTTCTTCATTACTTTCTTATAAAAAAAATCGAGAGTCACTGAGCTTTGAACTTTGAGACAATACTAAAATTCACAGCAGCAGAAAATCGGCATTGACAATTTTAGGCATCGGCAAGAACAAAAGTCCACAATGGCGAGTTTTAAACAACAAACCACAGCTGCAAAACAAAAATTCCTACACGCTATGGAATCTCCCACTCCACCATTCTTAAGTTGTTCGACAGAGAAGATAGATAACTAAGCCCTAAAAAACTACTTTACGCTGAATAACGTCACCAATGCTACTGAAATTGAGAGCCGTGGAGGGAAGACGATGACTTACCGGTGAATGATTTGGTCGAACAAAAGGAGTACATTGCGCAACATACAAGGGTTTGTATGAGCAATATTGATCCCTTTGATGATTGATGTAACTTTCTAACCAGAAGCAATGCAGAGAACAGAGGAGCGAATCCTGTGGGGGATCTGAAAAAAATGTGATGTTTAGAAGCGCGCGAATTTCAGAAACATATTTGGGCTGGGCTGGATCGGGCCGAGTTTTTCAATCGTTTGACGCTCCATCTTATCAGTTTTTAGCTCTGAAGTGAATAATAAATGTTGCAGTCTAATGAGAAGTTAATTTTTTGTTGAGCCAGTAGGTAACGTCAAGATGGCCGAGTTGGTCTAAGGCGCCAGTTTCAGGGAATGGGTTCGAATCTCCTTTTTTTTTTTTTGTTAATAGAGATAATTCGTACCTGAACGCACGGTGAAACATGAATGGTCTTGAGATGAATGTTGGTGATCATTGAATTAATCTATTTGAAACAGTCTGATGGGCTTATTGAAGCTCTCCCTCCTATTTTATATTATAAATTTTATTTCCTCTTCAATCCGAACATCGAAGATTAGTCTTAAGTAAGATTAATAATTGAGCCGAGTTATTTAAGCTTGGTTCGGATAAAATTTAACTCGAACTTGGCTCTTGTTCTAAATGAGTTAAATTTGAACAATTTTTTAAACTCATTTACAAAATGAGTCTAAAAAAGGATACTCTCAAACTCGCAAAATTCAGCTCGTTTATATGTAAAATAGTCAAGCTAATTAGATTTGATTCAATTTCAAAACGAGCCAAATTTGAACACTTTTTTTGGCTCCTTGAGAAAAACATACTTAACATGTTCGACTCGATTATCAACCATTATATTAGGACAAAAAAAAACATAATTTTTCCTGCGTATCATGGCATGATGGTTCTTTTTGATTTGGATATAGTAGAGCTCGGATTAGTTGAAATGGTCATCGTTAGGTCTTTTTCTCTTTTTTGAGTTGGTTATGGTTGTAGAGCACTGTTTAGTTCAAATGGTCATCATCAGGTCTTTTTCTCTTTTTGAGTTGGTTATAGTAAAGCACTGATTAGTTGAAATGGTCATCGTTAGATCTTTTTGAAATTGGTGCTTAAACTTCGACTTGCTGGTGTTCTTGGATTCTTGCAACTGTTATATAATAATTTGGATAAAATATATTCAACATTTACATGAATTTAATACTTGTGTATGTTTATCCCAAAAAAAAAAAAGAGGGAAAAAAAACCCATAGGAGTTTACCGGTCTTCATGCCTAAACAAGACCAACAAACAGGTAAAGCCAAAAAGCAGGTTTTGACTTGAGCCAAAGCAATGACCCAACCACTTGAAAACAACCGTAAGATATATCAGTTAGAGTTGGTCTTCTCTCACAAGCATTCTTTGCAAATCTGTAGCATTAAAATGCTCCCTCACAAACTTCAAGTTAATCATCAGTACCATCACCTCAAGTTGTGAAAACAGGATGAAAAGCACCCATTCTACAGCATTCTGTATAATACAGCGCCAATGGCAAAGGAGTTACAAGGAACCAACCACCTGTCTGCCACAAAATCATATGAACAAAGGATCATTTACTTCCCCTGTATTGTAATTTTGAAATTGGGTCCCAAGCAATAAATGAATAAATCCTTCTGACGACAAATTATTATCCAATTTCAGCCTTGATGGGCCATTTATGTACGCAAACAACTATCAGGCAAGCTCCAGGCCTGAATAATCTGTCTACTAACAGGTGAATTTGGCATAATTAAGTTCCATATACCCAAACAATCCCTAGAAAAGAGCTCCACCCAAAAAAACAATAATCAGAACACCCATCTGCAACTAGTATTANATGGTCTTGAGATGAATGTTGGTGATCATTGAATTAATCTATTTGAAACAGTCTGATGGGCTTATTGAAGCTCTCCCTCCTATTTTATATTATAAATTTTATTTCCTCTTCAATCCGAACATCGAAGATTAGTCTTAAGTAAGATTAATAATTGAGCCGAGTTATTTAAGCTTGGTTCGGATAAAATTTAACTCGAACTTGGCTCTTGTTCTAAATGAGTTAAATTTGAACAATTTTTTAAACTCATTTACAAAATGAGTCTAAAAAAGGATACTCTCAAACTCGCAAAATTCAGCTCGTTTATATGTAAAATAGTCAAGCTAATTAGATTTGATTCAATTTCAAAACGAGCCAAATTTGAACACTTTTTTTGGCTCCTTGAGAAAAACATACTTAACATGTTCGACTCGATTATCAACCATTATATTAGGACAAAAAAAAACATAATTTTTCCTGCGTATCATGGCATGATGGTTCTTTTTGATTTGGATATAGTAGAGCTCGGATTAGTTGAAATGGTCATCGTTAGGTCTTTTTCTCTTTTTTGAGTTGGTTATGGTTGTAGAGCACTGTTTAGTTCAAATGGTCATCATCAGGTCTTTTTCTCTTTTTGAGTTGGTTATAGTAAAGCACTGATTAGTTGAAATGGTCATCGTTAGATCTTTTTGAAATTGGTGCTTAAACTTCGACTTGCTGGTGTTCTTGGATTCTTGCAACTGTTATATAATAATTTGGATAAAATATATTCAACATTTACATGAATTTAATACTTGTGTATGTTTATCCCAAAAAAAAAAAAGAGGGAAAAAAAACCCATAGGAGTTTACCGGTCTTCATGCCTAAACAAGACCAACAAACAGGTAAAGCCAAAAAGCAGGTTTTGACTTGAGCCAAAGCAATGACCCAACCACTTGAAAACAACCGTAAGATATATCAGTTAGAGTTGGTCTTCTCTCACAAGCATTCTTTGCAAATCTGTAGCATTAAAATGCTCCCTCACAAACTTCAAGTTAATCATCAGTACCATCACCTCAAGTTGTGAAAACAGGATGAAAAGCACCCATTCTACAGCATTCTGTATAATACAGCGCCAATGGCAAAGGAGTTACAAGGAACCAACCACCTGTCTGCCACAAAATCATATGAACAAAGGATCATTTACTTCCCCTGTATTGTAATTTTGAAATTGGGTCCCAAGCAATAAATGAATAAATCCTTCTGACGACAAATTATTATCCAATTTCAGCCTTGATGGGCCATTTATGTACGCAAACAACTATCAGGCAAGCTCCAGGCCTGAATAATCTGTCTACTAACAGGTGAATTTGGCATAATTAAGTTCCATATACCCAAACAATCCCTAGAAAAGAGCTCCACCCAAAAAAACAATAATCAGAACACCCATCTGCAACTAGTATTAATGCAAAAATAGAAAACAATTGTAAATCAACATTCTTATTTTTTTGGACACACCAAAGCACAAAAATATCATAAAACATTTCTGGAAGTCAGTTTGTCGACAAGTAAACAAACATCCATATAATAAGTCTCGTACAAAGTTAAAGTAGACACAAATTTTCAAATTTAGAGGAACCTCAACATAATGTTTTCCACATTTCTTCATCATCGTCATCATCGAAGTCAAAAATTTTCCTTCCAAAATATCACAATTCAATAAGCTATTGCATTATCATTCTCTCATTCAGCTCTTTGAGGCTTGCTTTTCCTTCGCCTTCTGGATCTTCAGGACCTTTTTCACAATCTTTTGCTCTTCAACCAAGAAGGCTCGGATGATCCTAGCCAAAAATAAAATATTAAATTAAATGAATATTTTTCAACATTTACTTAATTCACCACCACATTGTGAACTATTTATTAGAAATTAACATAACAGAAGCCGACACCTAATGACCACAGTGACATACCTCTCCCTGACAGCACCTCCAGACAATACACCACCATAGGCACGATTCACTGTCCTGCGATTCCTAGATAATCTAGACCTCTTGTATTCAGCAGGTCTCAAGTGAGGAATCTGCCAAGAGATCCCAAAAATATACATTTAAACTCAACTCAACAAAGTCTTGTTTGAACCCCAAATTCAATCACTTATACAATGAAAATAAATATCTTTGAAGGGTCTATAATGAAACTGCTCAAACATAACTACATAAGGCATCTGCATCGCTTTGACTCAAACAGTTTAAAGTAAAATTGAGAGCAAAGGAGTTTGGGACACAGATATTTCTCATAATTCCATGGAGATCAAGATCACACAAATCTGATTGCGCACACATGAAATTTTTAAATGAAAAGAATAAAATGGGAAGGTTATAGCAAGTCATTCATATTACAATAACAAGTGCTAGCAATTCCAACTTAGGGAAAACGAGGTAAAAGAACTAACTACTAGTGCAAATGGACTGAAGGTGCTACAGTACAGAAGGCAACAAACCATGCTAATTGGCCAGTATTGTAATACATAAATGGCAACTGGAATGCAAAAATTAAGATCATGACTAAGAAACTTACCCCAAAAAGATTCATGACTAGGACAAGAGTACAAGCATTTAAAAAATGTATTCAATACAGAAAAACCAACAGTGAAGTGCAAGAAAACCTCAGTCATATCACTCACAAGAAATTGAGATACCAACAATAAACAATTACGGTCAACCAAGCTACAATTAAGATCATGGTTTGAAAAGGCAAATGTAAATTACAATAATAAAAAAGCATTCAAGCAAGAAATTTAGCATACTAAAGATTTGCCAACCCATGGTAGCACAAGCAAAAGTTATCATAGAGAGTACACTCGGTAGGCATGATAATTCCAACAGTGAGACTCGGCATAGGTAAGGTTCCATTGGGTTGCGGCCAAACTCCAAAACTGATAAACCATAACTTGGGTATAGTCACAAGTCCTAGAAAGGATTCAGAAATGAAAAAGGACAAATATCCACAATCTCTAAAATGCTTAAACCTAAACAAGAAATACTAGTATTATGTAACGGAGAGTGAAGATGATCTAAGACCTATATAACCAGACACAATTTGGTGGGCGCTCATATTTTCTTGATTTCCACAAATACCATAATGCAATTAGATAATTGCATACAATAAGGGAATTATTCAACTTTCATAAGTGGACCACACACTTTCCACTGCATGAGTGACCACAAAACAATTGTTGCCAAACATGTAAATCTAGCATCCATGTGCTCTACCATACAGGTCCACTTTTATTTATAGCAATCTATGTGTGTGCATATATAGATAGCTATCGCATTTGAGCATTATTACCCAATAATATACAGAGTTTTCATTATCTACATGCAGTTTTGTAAATGGTCATCCAACATAAAGCAGACTGTATTATTGGCACTCTTAATGTGATCGCATGTATATACACCCCAAAAAATTCCGAAAGTTAACCAAGAAAGAAACATACCCCTTGGATTCTCTTTCCAGTAACAGGACATTTGGGTCCGCTAGCTCTCTTTTTGGTGCTTTGGTACACCAGCTTCCCTCCTAAATCACCACATATTTAGATCAAATGAGTTACCAAACACCAATTCCACAACACCAACAGCACACTAGTGCTTTTTTTGATAAATACAAGTTTATTGCAAAGCTCAGCACATTAAACTTATTTCATGGTCACATTTTTGCAATCAACACACATAAAATGGTAAACAAAATCTAGGGATTTTCAGATCAGTAAACCACAATCTTTTTTTGGGGGGGGATCAGTAGTAAACTACAATAAAAATCGCAGAAATGAATAATGCAGTCGTTGCATTAATAAAACACGAAAAAAGAAACGAAAGAAAGAAAAGAAATGTGAGATTAGGGTTTTAGTAAAATACCAGGGGTTTTGACGATCCTGTGCTGGTTGGATTTGGTGGCATAGCTATGCCGTTTTCGGTATGTGAGTCTCTGCACCATCTTGTGAGTGCCTGAGCTCCCTCGATCTTTTTCCGAGAGTGAAACAAGATTGCAACAAAAGGGTCACAGCATATGGAGAAAGAGAATATATTGGTCCTGTGGTCGCAAACCCTAGGTCCAACGGTCACGATGAATCCCTTTTAACGGACGAGATTAATTATGTATGCTTGGAGATAATCTGAGGAGGATAAAAATGGCATTTCAATTGTGAACGCTGAACACGTTGATTATGTTCCGAAATGGTCAGAAACGGGTCGGGCATTGGGTTGTAAATGGATCAGATCATGTTAGTTTCCCAAAAGAAGGGTTCTTTAGAAGTCGGTACATTTTATTAGACTTATTTGACAAAAAGTACATAGAACAAAATGTGAGTTAAAAAAACATAAATGTTCATTTTAAGATTATTTAATTCAAAATCTTTTATCTTTAATGCACCTTGTTTCATGTGTATTTGTTAATATATATATATATATATACACGCGTATACTTGTTTATATATACGTATATATAAATATATATAATATATTTGTTTATATATACGTATATAAATATATATATATATATATACACACACACACACACACATATATATATATTTGTTGTTAAATCTCTTATTTAAATTTTGAATTATCTTTAATGCACCTTGATTTATGCGTATTTTTTTTTTAAAGTGATTTTTTTTAAATTATATTTAATGCACCTTGATTCAAGCGTTTATTTTTAAAAAAAATAGTTTTATTTTTAAATTAATTTAATATCCAAATAATGTAATAGTATAACAATAACAGTGTAACAAATACACTATAACAAAAACAGTGTTAAGTAATTTTGTGTATATAGTAATAAATTCAAAACGGATATAGACTATTTTGAATGAAAGTATATGTTTGACAAAATGTAATAGTAAAATATTTTGTGTAAATAGCTTGTTACACTATTATTGTTATACTATTACATTGTTAATATTACACTGTTACACTAGTACACTATTCAGATATTAAATTAATTTGAAAATAAAATTATTTTCTAAAAAAAATGTATAAATCAATGTACATTCAAAGATAATTCAAAATTTAGATAAGAGATTTAACAACAAATATATACACATGGATTAATAGAAGGCAAAAATGTCACAATAAAAATAGATAAATTCAAATTATGTATTTAGATACAAAAAAGTATCAAAATTAAGTACTTAATAACCTTACATTTTCTAGCGTGTACTTTTTGATAAATAAGTGTAATTTGATGTACCCTTTACAATTTACCTCCAAAAAAACTAGAGTTCATGACTTGTATGTTGGACCAGTTTTGCTGGGCTTTTCTTGAAGAAGAAATGTAATAGAAATGCGGATATTAAATTAATTGTAAGTTTCAATATTAAATGAGCTTAAGAGTATTTTAGATGTGAGTCTAATTTTTTAGACTTATTTTCGCAAAAGTGTATGGATAAGTTATTTATTCTATTAAATACAATTTTTATAAAAAAAAATTTGTGTTTAGGTACAAAATTCAAAGTGAATTAAAATTTCTTTTGTCTAAACATCATTCCTTAATTTATGCAATCATCATTGATAGTTATTTGAGGAAACAAATATGTACAAATTAACAATAATAATAGGAGGTAAAATAGGAGTTTACAGAGAGCGAGAGAGCAAAATTAGAGGTATTTCGTGCTACAAAATGAAGATGAAGGAGTATGGGTGTAACTGTTTTTTAATAGGTGTAACTATTTTTTTAATGGGTGTAACTGTTTTTTTAATGGGTGTAACAATCACAGTCTCATGCAATTATTAAAGCATAATGGTGTAACGATGTTGCAATACTAAATGGTGCAACTATTTAGTTTATGTAAACAATTGAATGACAAATTAAATTGATGTCATAATTTTGTGTAATTGTTTTGTATAATTGTTTGATTTTATTCGAATGCATGAATAATTATTTTGTGTATTATATAAAAATTGTAACTGATTATTATAATTGTGTTGTTTTAATATTAATATAAATAGAGTAAGAGAAAATAAGGAGAGAGAAAGAAAAAAAATTGTTAGAAAAAATATGTCCACATTTTACCACTTGAGTGTAGCAAAAAAAAAAGGAAAGAATACAAAAGGGTTTCCATTCATATGCTGTTTGTGACAATAGTGGCATTTTAAAAAAATATGTATATTTATCTAAAATAAGTTTTGGACTTGTATTTTTGCCCAAATAAATATAAAAAAATATACCGACTTCTAAATTCTCTTACTTTTTAATTCAATTGTTACGTTGAATTAAGCGCTCTCCAATTTTCTCCAACCAGTTAGTCGGGCCCACTTTCGTGCATCTTATTCTGAGCAGTTCGTTTGCACCGTGTCTACTGGACTATGAGGAAATCAACGGGACTCCATGTGACGGACTGGGCTGGTTTAAAGCCTGATGGACTGTCAGTCGGGCCAACAGGTCAACCCATGGGCCATTCGAGGACATTTGTGTGTGTGCTGGCAATTTAAGGGTCAACCAAATTAGACTTATTTAGGAAAAAATACACACTAAAAAATGTAAGATTATTAAGTTCTTAATTTTGATACTTATTTGTATTTAAGTACACAATTTAAATTTGTCTAATTTTTTTGTGACATTTTTTGTCCTATATTGATTCATGTGTGTGTTCTTTCAAAAGTGGTACATTAAATATCTCATAATTTTATAGGAGAACTTTAGTATTTAATGCACCTTGATTTATGTGTATATATATACACACGTGTAAAGTATAACATTTTTGAAAGTGTAAAGTATAATATTAAAAGTGTAACAAACTATTTACATAAGGTAAAGGGAAATATTACTTAAAGTGTTACACAAACAGAATATACATGTCTCATCTTACACTAAAAATGTTAATTAATTGAGAAAGTGTGAAAGTGTTACACTTTCAATGTTAACATGTAACATTTTGCACTTTCCATTAAGTAAGGTGAGATATAAGATAATATTTACACTTTACATTTTCAATGTTATATTTTTCATTTTTAATATTATATTTTACACGTATATACATACTTGTATATGTACTTATATATATACATAAATAAATACTTGTATATATGTATATAAATACGTATATATATATATATATATGTATATTGTATTTATATACGTGCATACTTGTATATATGTATGTATATAAATACAATATACATACACATATATATACGTATTTATATATACTTGTTTGTATATATATATTAACAAATACACATGAATCAATGTGTATTAAATATTAAAGTTTTTTCATAAAATTAGGAGATATTTAATGTACCATTTTTTCTAAAATGGGCATTTATGTCTTTGCATCTAACTAGTGTACCTTTTTCCAAAATATTTTTTAATATGTACTTTTTGTCAAATAAATTTAATTAGGTGTACCGACTTCAAAAATCCATTCTATTTTCTGCTTTAATTTCAGTCCAAGATCAAGAAATGCAGCGGGATATAGTGGGTGACAACTGAAGTTATGCGGGGTTCTCTCCTCAGCAACTGGAACTCTATTTCTCCAATGGAGTTAATGCCAATTTTACGTTTGGCTCTCATTTTTGTCCCTCAATTATCGAGTTTCTCAAAGTTGCCCCTCAACTATTTTAATTTGCTTCAAATTGTTCCAAAACCAAATGTCATTTATGTTTTGAATGGAAAATATTTGTAGGTAGTAAGTTACATGTTTATGTAATTTAATTTCTACAATTGAGACACAGTGAAGTCAACAAATATAGTTAGGGGAGCAATATAAAAGACATGATAGTTGATGAGACAATGTGAGGCACGAGACATAATTAAGGAGGTCAAACTATAATGTTTTCCTATTTATTGATTATTAGTGGACTTTCTTAGCTTTTCCATCCCCTATTTTCCATTTATTTTCATTTGCATACACCAGCAAATGACACACATCAACTTTACTGATTATTATGCATGGATCAAAATTTTGTTTTAGTGTATTGTTTCGGTCATCTAAAAAATGGAAACGTTTTGACCCGTTCCAAAAACCGAATGAAAAAAAATAAATAATTTAAGAATTTTTTTTTTTAAATATTGGTCGAAATATACCAAAATATCTTGAAATATTTTAAAACATTCCAAAATAATTGTACAAATGCATTGAAACATAACAAAACATTTCAAAATATTATAGAATATGTTGAAATATTAGAATTTTGATTCCATTACTGATTCGTTTGAATCTCTTTAAAATAAAAACGTTTCGGATGTTTCGACCGTTTTAAAACAATATTTTGATCATTGTTATTATGCAATCAAAAAGACTTTAACTCAGAACGTTTGTTCGTGTTTATCTCTCAACTTTTTTCACCCCCATATCAACCCCTATGACGGGTTGTTTATCCTTATTTCAACCTGGAGGACATGGAATATGTATTTGGGGGTGGAAATGTGAAGGTGAAACGTCCATTTTAGATGATGTAGTCAATACAGAAAACCAAATATGGGGGCAGAAATATAAAGTCAAAGCCTTGTCAATTGTCATTGGTAGGTCATAGGGACCTCATCTTTTCAAGACCATTTATTTTTAATAAACATCTTTGCAAGGCTAATATTCGTCTAACACACGCAAAACTGAACTTCCACAATGCGTCACCTTGTCTTTTCAGATTTTCACACATCAACCACCATAGTGTTTGCATAAATATAATGTATTATTAATTGAATTTCGTATGAACACATCATAATAACAGCTTAAAACATTCCTGTGGTTTCATTTAGTACATTATGTGCTTATTCTTATTCATATTCTAATCTTGCTTTGTTCTGCCAAAGGGTCCACATCCAAAGACACTATCCTGGAAACTCATTGTCAACCATCTAGCTAACACTTAAACACGGTATTTCCAAGCTACAGACACAGCAAAATTTTCCTAAAGATTTCGTTTTTTTTTCTTCCTGTTTAATATCATGATCTAGTTGTTAGGATTTAACATGGAAAGAGCAAAAATGAAGATTCTACATGAATCTTCCGGTTAACGAAACTAATATTGCTTAGTTTATTTCGACACCAGAACAGCTGGTCTGTTGTTATTCTTGACATGTTTAGGACCCTTGAGACTAGTTTCATATCTACTTGAGAGAAGAAGCAAAGAACTTGATCTGACTCGTCTTCTCGACACCTTTGGAACTTCCTTAATATGCAGTTTCCACTCCTCAACAGATCTTTGAGCTTCCTCTCCTTCTGCATTCCAATAAAAGAAGAACATATTAAGCAATTCACTAATCAATTCAATTAGAGGCAAATGCAAGGTTTTTTTCCCTGAAAAAATTGTAAAATTAACCTTCTGAAGATTTCTTCGGACTTCCAACAAAAGCTTGGAATCTTCAGGATCTTGAAGTTCTACAGGTGTTCCCCTTCGATCCTTTGAAATGACATTGGTGCAATCCTTATCTGCTCGAACAAATCGCCAAAAAATTCGTATTGATTCTTCCATGATCTCCACTAGCATGTCACTTGTAATGGCATATTCGCCTTTCTCTTTCATTTTTGCCTTCCTTTTGTCCTTTGAACTATCCTCTGCAAAGAAATTAAATTCTAGTTTATTTCATGGTATGATATACAGTTAGAAATCAGCATCTGAAGAATTATTATCATCTGCAGCCTCACTTAGCGTAAAAATTATCATAATATCATGTAATTTAAGAGAAATGCAACTACCAACTTGGCTAAGAATAACCCAAATTTCCAAATTCTCACCTCTTATAAGAGGAATCTGAAGAAGATTACGAAGAACACATCGATTCTTGACATAATTCTGAACCCTTGGACCTTGAAAAGGTTCATCCTCTATAAATCTTTGCATGAGCACTTGAAACTGCTGAAATTCTCCAGCAACTTCATTGTACAGATGTATCCTTCGTGGATCAGCTTCCCAAAGATCCAAGGTCTTCTCATATTGCCATTGTAGAATTTCCCAGGAAAGGCACATTTGTCCGACATACACCACTTCCAAATCACTCTGTAATTCTCCGATGAACTTTATCATTGGGTCGGTTTCAACTTTTTTCTTCTTGTATGATTTAAAGCTCTGTGACAAAAGGGATGTGAAAGCTGGAACTGAAGTTTTCTGCCTTGTAATTGATTGGAGTGGGTCTTTAAGCTGCAGAAAACCTGTAAATGATTTACATGAGGATAGGATAAAATTAAACATGAAAGAGGGTATAGAGGAAAAAAAAACATCTAACATGTCACCTGCATATGAATCCTATCACCAAAGTTTTGAATTGATCAAAATCAAATATAATAAACTCGTATTGCTTTTCCAAATTGTGGGCTAGTACCACATAAATTGTTCAAAAAGAAAAACAATGACCAAAAAGGATTTCACATAGCCATTTTATCAGTGTTGGATTAGTTTAGTATAATAAAAATTGGCAGTTAGGTGAAGTTATCCCCTAATGAAATAATGTTCCAATGCATAGGTCGAGGAAGGTGAAAAGTTCTGGTTGGTTGGTTGCCGTTAGTTGTATGAATATGAATTTCAACTTATCAGAACATTTAACTTGAGCATCCAGAAAATGGTTAGCTCTATCTAACCATCAGTACATTCTGTTTCTTGTTTGATTGGAAAAACAGACACTGCATTATAATAAAAGATGCCACACGAGATTTTACACCTTTTATGAGCGCAATCCATATGGATTCCATTAAAATTTCTCCAGTTGTTCATATACAATGCACCTATGTAGTATTCATGTCTCCCTATACAATAACGATCCCCTAAATATGTAGATCGGGCTTTTTATTTCTCTCTAAAGATAGGTAAGAACTTCAAATACACCTGCAAGGTTCGAACTTGCCTATGAAGTGACTAGGCGTACCACCCGACTGACATGGGTCATAGATCAGGATTTATGCTTGGTTTGCATGTGTTTGCGTTTACACCTAAATATACAGCATAAAAGTCTGTGCACTTTTCCCCGTCCCATTTTAATCTGTTTAACAGTCACTACAACAATGCTTTGCACCTGAGCAGGTTCATGGTTATTGTGTTTCTGAAGACCTCCACCACCCCCAACTACCTAGATTTAGTGGGTCCTTTACTAAACTTCTTAATTATGAAAAGTAGGTTGAGATATTCATTTCGATGGATAGATTAGTTCAGACCAGATAAAAAATGATGATAATCATGAAGGGTCATCTATACAAATTAGTATAGAATAAAGGAACAAACATAACGATGATGAGAATAAGTAACAATAATGATAGATTTAACAAGTGAAGGGATAAAGATAAAGTAACCGACCTATTGCATACATCTTCTGGTAATTCAAGATATCGAATTTTCGCATCCTCTCCCTGTAACTCTTGTAGAATTTGTGAAGCTCCCCTATACAATCTTCACGCTGAAACTTCTCGTCGATCTTCCATGGCTTTAAGTCCTCCATCTTTGGCGACTCGGATTCTTCCATGATAGTAGGCAGTCCTGTGGCTCTAACCTTTTTAAGTTCCATCTTCAACTGTTCTATCAATTCTTGATGTTCCCACAATGTTTCCAAATCATATTCATCCTCTGAATCCAGGTCTGATGAATTCTTTGACTCGAGCTTTTCAGAATTACCTGAACCGTTCACTGGCTTGTCATCTTTGGTATTGAATTCTTCATTTTTGGATTTGTCCAATTCTTTACCAAAATCATTCTGAGACACAAATGGATTCTGCAAATGAACCTCCTCCAATTTTTTAAGTTCTTCCATTATATCACTATCTTCATCATCAAAGTCATCAGATTCGTGATCTTCAAAGTCTGGCATCCCATCATAGTGCTCTTTCTTCTCACCATCATTATCCATCAAAGTATCTAGTTCAAATTCTCCTCCGAAATCTCCATCTGACAAAAACCCATCACTATATGAATCAATCAGATGACTCATAACAGAATGCATATGGCTTAAACTCATTGATTCTGAATCTGATTCCATACTGATGGAATCATTTTCAGAATGAACTTCATCTTGGTCACCACGAGAAATGTTATCTTCATCATCTGGTTCAAGCTTCTCTTCTGTGAATGTCGTTGCCTCAATTTTCTCTGGTATCTCCTCTTCCAAACATGCATCATCAATCACGTTCTCTGGTACTTCATCATGAACAGTTTCTGGTTCTGAATGAACTTTTTTAAAATCCATCTCCGATAAAAACCCATCTTCAACAATTTCATTCACTCCTAAAGAACCACTATTTTTATCAATGTTTGCTTCTTTTACATCAAAACTTAAAAACTCTGGTTCTTCAATGAACCCGCTAAAACTCTTCTCAGGCATGAACTCATACTTACTAGTACTAATTGATGGAACCACTTCAGAGCTAAGAAAACCTTTATCAACCCCACTGCTTTTACTGAATTCCTCAAAGGTTGGGAATTTAAATTTGAAACAGAACGCGGGAGTCTCTTTTTCGCCCACCTCATCATTCTCTCTTTCAGAAAAACTGAAAGAATCATTTTTTACTTCTAACACTGACTCTGGCGCATTACAACTGGGATTCTTTTGGCAATTTTCTTCAGAAATAAGCTCTGAGAACTTTGAATTGTTCTCTGAAGAACTCTTATTCTTTTTAAACCTGTAAAACCAAGAACCACGAAACAGGTTAATCATCATAAAGAATTATAAAACAATGAATCTCATCGAAAAAAAAAATAAATTGAATAAAGGAGTACCTGAAGAGGTAGGTGGTAATGACACCCAACCAAGGAAGCAAATAGGTGGAGACGGAGAACCAGAAAGAGCGGACAAAGAGAACCAATTTCTGATACAGGAACATCTTAACAGAGCCCATATCCACAGAATCGAAATGGGCACTGAATAAAAACAATCTTCATAAACCATCAATTTAATCAGCCAGTAAATTCAGTTCCAAGCAAAAACAGAGGAAACAGAAACAGGGCAGTTCGGGTAACTCATGGCTCCTTTGAATTTTTCAAAACAAGAATGGACCTTATACCTGTAAAAAGAAAAGAAACAATCAAAAACCCAAAGATTTGGGTCGATTTCTGATTCAGAAGAGGTCGAAATCTGACCTAATTGGAGAGTTTCAAGGGGGTGATGAGATTTGAAAGCAAAATTTTAGGAGAGATAGTTACCTGTCAGCGACTCTGACTAGGCTTAAGCTAATCTTTCGGTTGCTTGGAGGTTACAGTTTTGGAATTCTGAAGTTTGTTATATGACATGTATGTTTATTTATACGTATCTGTAGATTTTATTGGTTTTATCAGCTGAGAGGTCTGTTTTCGGCTGTTTATTCTCGGGTCTGTTTTCAGGGGTTGGACAGAGAGAGAGAGAGAGAGAGAGAGAGAGAGAGAATCAAAATTGGGTTGGGGGTTGGGAAGAGAGAGAGAATCGCAATTGGGTTAATTGAAAGTTTAAGTTTTTCGTAGGGGGGCTAAATATGTAAAAGTTTTCGTCAATTTGACATAATTGTTTTTGAGACTTTGGGGGGGTTTGGGCAGGTTGGTCAATAGAAAAGGCAGGGCAACCTTTCTAGATTCTTTTCGTCTTGCACTGATGAATTTCTAGGTCTACGCACAACTTTGGTTTGTGTACCATGAGAAATTGAAACACCATGCAACTTAACTCCCCAACCCCACCCCATAAAAAACTAAACCACCATTCTCTCGTGTGTATGTGCGTGGGTGTGGGTGGAAACACACATAAAAACGACCGGCCATTTATCAAGTATGACTTATTCAATGGTTCCAAATTACTTGTACGAGTTCCAACAAATCATATCTGCAGAAGAAAGAAATATTTATGACTAATTAAGTTGGATTCCAATAATCTCTTCTTAAAGACCAACAGTTTAACAATTAATCCTCTGTCATTAGTATGACGTATTTTGCAATCACATTAGGAAAATAAGTGTAAGTTTTTAAGGGCTTTTAAGCTTAAGTGCATAATATTATATAAAAAATCATTCGGTACGAACAAACCGACTTCCTAGACAACAAAAAATTGACTTCATTAACCGATCCTTATCAATTTAAAAAAGTGAGGTTGTATATCAAGAACCATTCTCCCGCCACAGAGAAGAAATTTAAAGTCTGTATACATCTGATAAAAGAAAAAGGAATAAAAAGTTTTTACAACAGAATAATAAAGAATAAAGATAACTTACCATTTATTTCGGCTTCCTTCTACCATACATGATCTCGTTCTCTTTTGGAACTTTACAAGTTGCTCCAACCGACTCCGATTGAAGTTAAGGAGAAGAGGATGTTCTTGAAATACTCCTTTTTTCCTTCAAAAAAAAAAAATACTCCTTTTCAATAAGACCCCTCTTGTGAAGTATTAATTTTGATGACAAAATTAGGAAAGTAATGGAAAGCAGGCAAATAAATAAAAGGAAACCAGAATAATGAACATATCCAATATAAGCCGAGGTAAATAAATTAAGGGACAGTCTTAATTTCCTAATATCTAAAAATANTGAACATATCCAATAAAAGCCGAGGTAAATAAATTAAGGGACAGTCTTAATTTCCTAATATCTAAAAATATTCTAATAACTCTCGTTTGTTTTGTATACTAAAATGCATAGTTACAATTTCAATCAAATTTAACTATCCGATGTTAGCGTACCACGAGAATTGGAATATACAAAAAGTTCAGTAAAGTACACATATAATTCTTAAAATATTATCTTTATGTCAATTAAATCGATAAACTTTTTTTTTTTGTCAATTGAGTTTTTAAACTCTCTAATTGTGTCAATTGAACCCTTATGTTTGCCTTAATTGGATTTTTTAATGAAAAATGGTAAAGTGTATCACTCACGTGACACAAATAGTTGGAGATATAACTATCAAACTATGACTCTTGTATTAATTAAATTCCTAATTTTTTTTTTTTATTAGTTAAGCTCTTGAACTCTGTAGTTGTGTCAATTGAATCATTTTATCTTTTTATGCTATATAGTCACGTGAGTGACACACTCTAATTCAGACATATCGAAAGGTTCAATTGATACAATTAAAAAATTCATTGGCTCAATTGATACAAAAAAAAAAATGCATGATGTTTAATTAAAAGAATGTTCATAGTTTTAAGGGTCATATGTGTGTAGGTTACTCTAAAAAATTTTAGGAAATGAATTTTTATTAAAAAAAAAAAAAAAAANGCTATATAGTCACGTGAGTGACACACTCTAATTCAGACATATCGAAAGGTTCAATTGATACAATTAAAAAATTCATTGGCTCAATTGATACAAAAAAAAAATGCATGATGTTTAATTAAAAGAATGTTCATAGTTTTAAGGGTCATATGTGTAGGTTACTCTTAAAAATTTTAGGAAATGAATTTTTATTAAAAAAAAAAAAAAACATTACAGTAAGCTAAAAGAAGGGGTTTTTTAATTTTTATATAGATACAGCTATCACGAATCTATCCCAAAACGACAAAGCCCCACACAAAACCGAGTCATGGGGCAAAATTCGTGTATTTCATCTTCTATGTTAGTCGGTAGAGCTGGTTTATTTTTAGGAAAGTACAAAAAGAAGCCGTTATAATTGACTGAGACAAATCCATTTTGCCCAAATCTTTTTGTTTTTGTTTTTATTTTTGTTTTTTTCTTAGTNCCGAATCTATCCCAAAACGACAAAGCCCCACACAAAACCGAGTCATGGGGCAAAATTCGTGTATTTCATTTTCTATGTAAGTCGGTAGAGCTGGTTTATTTTTAGGAAAGTACAAAAAGAAGCCGTTATAATTGACTGAGACAAATCCATTTTGCCCAAATCTTTTTGTTTTTGTTTTTATTTTTGTTTTTTTCTTAGTATAATTTTCAACTGCATTTTGAGAGATCACAATTCAAAATATCACTTAATTCTAATACCGCGTGTTTGATGGAGCGAACGACAAATTGGGTTCCACGCGTTTGACGAAGCCAAAAAGCATGGCGCTTATTAGTCAACAAAAGTCGAGAATAAAGAAACAGAGGTTTCTTACAGTTATTGTGTTCTTACCTGCCCACGTCCACCAATTCCTCTTTTCCCCAAACAAATTTTTTCGTGTCAGAGTGAGATGTTCTTTAACCTATATATATATATATATATATATCATAACCCATATTTAGAAACATGATAAAATATAAAATTTGAACGTTCAAAAAATTGATTGTATTATATTAAAGACANCAGTCGAGAATAAAGAAACAGAGGTTTCTTACAGTTATTGTGTTCTTACCTGCCCACGTCCACCAATTCCTCCTTTCCCCAAACAAATTTTTTCGTGTCAGAGTGAGATGTTCTTTAACCTATATATATATATATATATATATCATAACCCATATTTAGAAACATGATAAAATATAAAATTTGAACGTTCAAAAAATTGATTGTATTATATTAAAGACACAAAAAAATAAAAAATGATAAATAATAAATATATTTATATTTATATTCAAAATAAATTTTAAATATAGATAAAAAATAAAAGAATTTAAGTATCGATTTGTAGTGAGAGTGAGAGGTGGTGGGCGACAGTGGTGGTGGCAGAAAGTGCGACAGTGATAGTAGTGGTGATGATAGCGACGATGACAATGGTGGTAGCGGTGGCAATGACGGTAGTGGTGACGGTGGCGACAACGATGGTGNAAAATTTGAAAGTTCAAAAAATTGATTGTACTATATTAAAGGCACAGAAGAATAAAAAATGATAAATAATAAATATATTTATATTTATATTCAAAATAAAATTTTAAATATAGATCAAAAATAAAAAAATTTAAGTATCGATTTGTAGTGAGAGTGAGAGGTGGTGGGCGACAGTGGTGGTGGCAGAAAGTGTGACAGTGATAGTAGTGGTGATGATAGCGACGATAACAATGGTGGTAGCGGTGGCAATGACGGTAGTGGTGACGGTGGCGACAACGATGGTGGTGGTGACGGGGGGTGGTGATGATAGTAGTTGTGAAGGTGATTATGGTGGTGGCGACGGCAGTGGCGACGATGATGGTGGTGGTGGCAGCAGTGGTGGTGGTGGTGGTAATAATGGTGGTGACGGTGGCAGTGGCGATGATTGCGATGATGATGGCGAGGACTGTGGTGGTGGCAACAACATCGGTGGTGGGGGTGGTGGTGATGGTGGCGACAATGGTGCTGGTGGCAACGATGGTGGTTATAACGACGACGATGGCGGTGGCGACGACGGCGGTAGTGACGGTGGTGGCGGTGGTTTCAAACACTATTTTTTTTAAAATATTTATGAGAAATAATTTGCAGAAGTACTTTTAAAAAATCAGTTCAAACACTTCATTAGGGGTCTATTTTTTCTATTAAATTTAGGGTATTAATATTAACTGTTAAATTAACTTTAAAGTAAAATTTAAAACGATCTCAACCACGAATAGCAAAAATCATTTTGTTTATCTTTTGATATTTGAATTGTAAGTTACTTTATTATATAAATTATTAAATAATAATTTTTCTTTCTTTCATCTATTTGATTACATCATTTAAAATTTATTTTTATCAATTATTTTTTTAAAAATATCAAAATAAATACGTAATTCGATAAAAATTTTAAACATGTGTATACTATAGATAATATCTAAAATAAAAATTATGTTAAACTATAAATTAATTAAATATTAAATAATGAAACATGTGATAGAAATAGATTATGTGATAGTTTAGAAGAATAAAATACATATAAGAAAAAATTTTAAACACCTAACTATTTTATTATATAGATACACACACTAGTGGATTCTCCCGTGCGATTCACAGGTGTATAATTTGTTTATTTTTTTATTTGATAAGTTAAATAAAATAATTATAAAAAAATTGAGTGATAAAAAATAATTTTTTTGAATAAATTTTAAAGGATTAATTATAAGTTGCACCCTGAAAGATAGTTTGAATCTTAATTTATACTCCCAAAGATAAAAAATCTCAATTTATACCTTCAAAGATAAAAATTTATATCAATGTGCACCCCCAAAGATAAAAAATTTCAATTTGTACCCTCCAAGATAGAAATTTGTATCAATGTGCACCCCCAAAGATAAAAAATCTCAATTTGTACCCTCAAAGATAAAAATTTGTATCAATGTGCACCCCCAAAGATAAAAAATCTCAATTTACACCCTAAAATATAGAAATTTGTATCAATGTGCATCTAAAATTAAATTGATAAATAATACCTAGATCCCTTCATACATCTTATGACATTTGTGCACGTGTAACACGTAACCCTTTTTCATTGATATATGTTAATATAACCATTAAAAAAATATGATTTTATCCTAATAAAAAATTATAATTTCATATTACTCTGTATTTTGTATGTCCGATATACTTTA